GTACAGTCCCCGCCCCGGCCTGCGCTGCTGCCGCGGCGTCCCCGCCGCCGAAGCTGCTGCTGCTTGAGGCACCGCCCTCATTGCTTACGCTGCCATGGAAGGCGGGGATGAGGCCGCCGTTCCAAGACCCGTCTTCCTGTGTGCCGTCCGAGCTCTCGAGGGCCCCGCCGCCGCCTGCCGCGATGACCTTGACCTTGACGCTCCAACCTGGGTCATCACCAGCCTGCTCTACTGTGGTAGCTGCGGCGTCACCAGCACGCGCCTCATCCCCCGCTGCACGCTCTGCTGCCGCCCGGCCATCCGCGATGTAGTCAGCCTCAGCCGCCGCTGCTGCGGTGGCCGCTGCAACATTGCGCTCTGCCATCAAGCGCTCCGCCTCCGCAGCGGCTGCTGCTGACGCCTGCTCTCCTGCTAGGCAATCAGCCTCGGCCTGCTCTGCAGCTGCCGCCGCTGCGGCCGCATGCTCGCGTGCCAAGCGCTCGGCTTCAGCTTGCTCGGCTGCCATTGCTGTTGCCTGCTCGGCTGCCATGCGCTCAGCCTCAGCCTGCTCAGCTGCCGCCGCTTCTGCCGCCGCTTCTGCCGCTGCAGTGGCCTTGGCCTGCTCAGCAGCCATGCGCTCAGCCTCAGCCTGCTCTGCGGTCGCAGGCGCTGCAGCTGCCATCGCTGTTGCCTGCTCAGCAGCCAAGCGCTCAGCCTCAGCCTGCTCTGCGGCCGCAGGCGCTGCAGCTGCTTGCTCGGCATCTGCAGCTGCGAGCTCGGCGGCCACCCTCTCATGCTGGGTGCTCCAGACAGCCTCAGCTGCTGTGATCGCTTCGCCTCCAGGAAGCGCCTGCTCACCAGCCAACCGGGTGGCCACGGCCTGCTGCGCCGCTGCCGCTGCATCTTCTGATCCAACAAGTTCGACGCTTGCCGCGTCCTCCTCCGCCTCATCACCCGCAAACAACTCGCGCCGCAGCGCAGCCGCTGCCGCCGCAGACGTGCGCCCGGCGCCGCCGGCGCCGGTGCCGCGCCGCCACTCCTCCGCGCTCGCGCCCTCGTCCTCAAACGCTTCGTTGCTGTAAAACGCCCCGCAGCTGAAGAACGCTGCGGGCGTCTCGCCCTCGCCGCCGGTGCCCGCGACCGCGATCGGCGTGCGCCGCATCATGCTTATCGCCGTCGACGGCTCCCCCACCGCGTCCGCGCCGCCTGCGCTCGTGTCATCCGCAAACAGGGTGTTGTCGTACGCACGCCGCGCCGCACTCGTGCTGCGGCCCATCGCCCCGGACGCGCCCGGGCTCGGCGGCGCGTAGCTGATTGTCGCGCGTCCGCCCCTCTGGCGCGACACCGAGAGCGAGTCGAGGCTGTCGACGCTGCTGCGCACTGTGCGGCCGCCCGGCGTCAGCCGCGGCGCCGCGAAAAGCGAGCGGCGGGCGGCGGCCGGGCCGGCCGGCTGCGGCTCGGGGGTGAAGCCGGGGAGGGCGCCCGCTGCGGCGGCCGGGGCCTCGTCGCCGTCGGACAGCGGAGAGAGCAGCACGCCGGGCGGCCCGGCCGCGGCCGCGTCCGCTGCGACCGCCTCGAACGCGTCAAGCCTCTCCCCTGCGGCCGCCACGGCCTCCGTGAGCTGTTTCATACCGCTGCCGACCTCCTCGGCTCGCGCCAGGGCAACTGCTGCGGCTGCAGCCGCTCCCTCAGCTGCCGCTGCGCTGCCTGCGGCCACCGCGTCAAGCGCGTCCAGGCGCGCGGCGTCCTCGTCCGCCTGGGCGCGGGCCGTCTCCAGCTGCACTGCAAGAGCCCCCATTTTCCTGGACACGTTGGTAACGGAGGCCTGCAGCTGCTCTGACAGCTGTGCTGCGGACGCTGCCTGCTCGGCTGACAGCTGCTCCACCTGTTGCATCGCCTGGCGCACCTGCACTTGCACATCGGCCGCCGATTTTGCTGCTTCCGCTGCGGCGGCCGCCACTGCTGCGTGCTCTTGTGCCTGCTGGGTCGCCATTGTCTCCAGCCGCTGCTGGACAGCGCGCAGCTTCTCCTCAAGGGCAGCTGCTGCTTCCTTGGGCGCCGCACCCGCTGCAACCGCCTCAAACGCATGCAGCCTCTCCTCTGCGACCGCCACGGCCCCCGTAAGCTGCTTCACACCACTGCCAGCCTGCTCTGCTCGCGCCAGCGCGGCGGCCGCGGACGCTGCCGCCTGCTGTGCTGCCTCTGCAGCCCCTGCGGCCGCCGCATCCAGGGCATCCAGGCGCACGGCGTCCTCTGCCGCCTGGGCGCGCGCAGCAGCCACCTGTGCCGAGAACGCCTCCAGCCTTTGGGCGTAATCAGCGGCTGAAGCCTCCAGCCGCCCTGACAACTGGTCTGAGGAAACTGCCTGCTGCGCTGCAAGCGTGTCCGCCCGACTCTCCGCCAGCTGCACCTTCTCTTGCAATGCGGTTGCCAGTTGCGTTGTCTCAGCTACATCCGCTATGACCGCGTCAAGCCTCTCCGTCGCGGCCGCCACGGCCCCAGCAAGCTGCCTCAAACCAGTGCCCGCCTCCTCTGCCTCTGCCAGCGCTGCGGCTCCGGCAGCATTTGCCTGCTGAGCTGCCGCCGCGGCCCCTGCAGTTGCCGCATCCAGGGCGTCCAGGCGCGCGGCGTCCTCGGCCGCCTGGGCGCGCGCCGCCGCCAGCTGCGCCGAAAGCCCCTCCAGTCTCTCAGCCGCAGATGCGGCGTCAGCGGCTGAAGCGTCCAGCCGCGCTGACAGCTGCTCTGAGGACGCCGCCTGCTGCGCTGCAAGCGCATCCACTCGCCGCTCTGCCAGCTGCACCTTGTCTTGCAACTCGGCTGCAAGTTGCGCAGTTGCGGCTGCGTCCGTGGCAACCGCCTCAAACGCATCCAGCCTCTCCCCTGCAGCCGCCACAGCTACCCCCAGCTGGCTGACGCCACTGCCAGCCTCCCCTGCCTGCGCCAGCGCCGCGGCCGCGGCAGCCGCGGCCTGTTGAGCCGCGGCGGTGCTGTCCGCAGCTGCCGCATCCAGGGCGTCCAGGTGTGCGGCGTCCTCCGCCGCCTGGGCGCGGGCCGTCTCCAGCTGCGCCGACAAGGCCTCCAGCTTCTGGGCGGCGTCCGCAGCTGCAGCCTCCAGCCGCCCCGACAGCTGCCCCGCGGTTGCAACCTGCTGCGCTGCAAGCGCGTCAAGCCGCTGCGCCGCTTGCTGCACCTTCTCTTGTATGTCGGCTGCGAATTCCGCCACTTCGGCGGCGGCGGCCGTCGCGGCCGCCGAGTGCACTTGAGCCTGTTGTGTCGCCAGAGTCTCTAGCCGCTGCTCAAGACCGCTCATCTTCTCCTCCAGCGCGGCCGCCGCCTCCCGCGC